TTTATTCACATTTTTTATATATATTTAATGTACATGATTATGTGTGGATTTGTGTGTATATATATATATATATATATATATATATATATATATATATATATATATATATATATATATATATATATATTTTTGGGCACTTGTCACTTTTTATACTAGTGTGTGTAAATTTAGTACCAGTTTTAGCCACTGGGTGGCAGATTGGTTGTTTGCTTGGTCTGTACACATTGATTGATTTGAAGCACCAGTCACCTTCACTTTATTTAATATTTATGTATTGGAATTTTTTTATATTTTTATAATTTGTATTATTTATTTTTGCACATTTATTTGGAGCACTAGTCACTTTATTTTATTATATATATATATATATATATATAATATTTTTTATTTTAATTTATTTGTTTATATTTAGCTTAATTAGTTCATTACCCTCATGGCTGAGCACTTCACCCAGTATTAGATATTTTTTTCATCCCGAGGTATAGGGTATAGATGATAGCTGCTGGCCTTGTTTAGCTATTCTGTGGAGCGCAGGAGGACATTCCTATAAAGTTTCTCCTAGAGTTAGGCTCATCCTTTGTACCACAGGTGTGTTGACATGTTGGATTTTTCCCAAATGCGAGTGAATCAGCTTCATAAATTGTGGTTGTGAGAACTGTTAACCTATTAGACTCTTTTACTTTTTTCAAAATTAATGGAAAATAATTGGGTTTAGATACACTTTATTTCTCCAAGTGCATTTTAAATGCATATAGTATATGGGAACTGTTTTAGCTGCCAAGGGATTTGTAATTCTGTACATAAAGACACGTGGTTCAGGCCTGTTTGACATTTCCCCAAGTGCATTTTAAATGTATATAGTATATGGGAACAGTTTTAGCTGCCAGGGGATTTGTAATTCTGTACAGAAAGGCCTGTTTGACAGTGCAGTCCGATTCCTTTTTTTTTCTATAATTCTTAATATTTATTCAAGTAGATGACAACCCAGTGCAATGCAAAGAGAAAACAGCTCATTACACAGTAGGCCAATAATGGAACTAATAAGTGGCCACATCAATACAGATGTATATTAGAAAATGAACAAGACTAGGGCATATAATACTCAGTAATTGCATCAAACCACAGCAAATCAGGTGTCTAAAACCATCTCTACTTGTAAGAAGGGCAACAATGGTTCAAAGCTTGTATGGATTTCTTCCTCAAACATTTCAAAATGTGTTTGACCATTTAAAGGACTAAAACCAACTTCAACTGTAGGGTGGATTAAACAAGAGATTAGAAAAATGGATTAAACAAGAGACAAAAAAAACGGGATAAAAGATTACCAAAATGTGGGAGGGGAAAGAGTTAGAAGGTCCAGTGGAGGGTGTCTACGAAACCAGAAGGCAACCCTTTTGAAGGTCAGAAGTTTGTGTCCAGAGACAAAGCAAGCACTTAAGTAGCTCAACCACATAGCCATGGTGTTTCCATATGTGAATTGTGACGTGTTTATTCCAGCTAAAAATATAACTTCTCTGCATTCCTGTTAGTATTCCTCTCCATTTCAATTGCATTTGATAAAAAGCTACCAGCTGTGGTTCTAAGTATTTATTTACAGAGCAGTTCTGCAGAGCTTGACTGTACTCATCTGCTACAGAATCATGTATTAAATGGAAGTATCCCCTTTTTAAAATGTCAGACAACTATAAGTTGGAGAACTAAAGACCTTAATAAAAATATGCTGTGACGAATGCTGTGCCCAACCCCTGCCCTTCTCACCAACTCATGACAATGGACCAGCCAATCTCACACCGCGCTGTCACTTGCGTAACAATGCCACCCTCAACTGCACCTTGCACACAGATTTTCCAGCTCGCAGGACCACAACCTTTGTGCCAGCAGCTGAGAGAGCAATACAAAGCAGCATGCTTACATAGTAAAACAGCACACAGCACATAATGTGAAACACACACAGCACACAGTTAACCCTTTGATCACCCTAGATATTAACCCCTTCTTGCTCAGTGTCATTAGTACAGTGTTAGTGCTTTTTATTAGCATTGGTGTCACTGGGGATATCAGTGGCAGTTACTCAGTTCCCCCCAGTGTCAGAATGCCCGCTGCCATCCCGTAGTCCCGCTATAAGTTGCTGATCACTGCCATTCCAGTATATATACCGCCATTTGTAGAAGACATGTAGCAGAATACATTTTGGCCTAAATTTATGATGACATTTTATTTTTTAAAATTTTTTTACTGGATATGTTTTATAGCAAAAAGTAAAAAATATTGTTTTTTTTTTTTTTTCAAAATTGTCAGTCTGTTTTGTTTATAGCGCAAAAAATAAAAAATGCAGAGGTGATCAAATACCACCAAAAGAAAGCTCAATTTATGGGGAAAAAAGGACATAAATTTCATTTGGGTGCAGTGTTGCATGGCTGGGCAATTGTCAGTTAAATTAACGCAGTGCTGTATCGCAAAAAATGTCCTGGTCAGGAAGCGGGATAAATCCTCTGGAGGGCAAGTGGTTAAAGTGGCATTAAACCCAAAATCAAATATTTATTATATTGCAGCTTACCAATTGTTAGATGTGATAGCTGCATTAGTTTTCTTTTTTAGGCTTTCTTTCTTTTATTTTCATCTTGTGATCAAGCAAATCTTATGTTTGTAAGAAGCCCAAGCTCCCCAGCAGAATGTATCAGTTTACATGGATAAGACAAACCGCTTAACACTGGTAGGGGTGATTAAAATGATCAGCATTTATTTATTAAGGCAAAACCTTTATCACAAAAGGAAAAAAAAAACTGTTTGTAACTAATTATAAAGTGTGAGCTGGAGTTTGGCTTCAATTTGTTTAGTGTATTTAAATTTGCTAATACATTTAACACTCCCCTCCCCCCAGACTGACAATGTTGCTGTCTGGTGTGCCTCCAGTGCTCATTCATCCAGTTGTGTCTCGCTAATACAGGAGCTGTGTTACTAGCCAGATCACCACGTGTAAACAGTGGGAAAAAATCCAAAGGAAAGAAAACTGATTCAACCACCACATTTAATGATTGGTAAGCTGCAATATATTACATTTTTAGTTTTGGGTTTAACCACTTGAACGCTGAGAGGTTTTACCCGTTTTATGACCAGGCCATTTTTTGCTGCACTGCTTTAACTGGTAATTGCACAGTCATTCAATGCTGTACACAAATAGAGTTTCTTTTTATGGTATTTTATTACCACTGTTTTTTATTGCTTATTATATAAGTGAAAAAAGACCAAAAATGAAAAAAAAAAACAATATTTTATTACTTTCTGCTATACAACATATTCAATAAAATGTTGTTTTTTAAAAAAAAAAATTCTCCATAAATTTAGGCCAACATGTATTCTGCTACATGTCTTTGGTACAAAAAAAAAAAAAAATCCCAGTAAGAATATTCTAATTTGTGTGAAAGTTATAGCATCTACAAACTATGGTATTGAAAAAAAAGGAACAAATCGGCGCTGGGAAGGGACCAAACTGGACAATAAATTGATAACAGTGAATAGTGGATGGTCAGTATAAAATAAAGGAGGGAGGAATGGGGATATAAAATAGAATATGTATATAATGATAATAAAAATCAATAATGATACAAATAAAGAGATAATTAAAAAAAAAAGACAGATAAGACAATCCGGGGATCCTAAATGGTGTATGGCAGGTGAAGGCAGCTCCCCATAGAGCGAAGCAGTACTCTGCAGAAGATAAAAGCAGACAGATGGGGGCACCTTCTGTAATCTCCCTGCTCTGCCATTGGTCGCTCGCCAAGTCCTTCCTTGCGGTCCATGCTGGTTTCGTTGCCATTTTCAAACTCTCTGCACTGCTACCAGCTGACGGCTCTATCCCTGTTCATCCTCAATGACCAGGACCCTCACCACTGGTGGACATATGGCTTACCAAAGGATTACCTTATCATGCTCCTTTACTCATGATGTTTGTGAGTAGTTTTAATACCCTATGTTATTAATAAATCAATAACCCTCTACATTCAGATTGGCACCCCCTTCTGTCTTTACCAACTATGGTATAGAACTGGAATTTATGTTCATTTTTTTTGTAGGCTAGAAATGGTGGTGATCAGCGACATATAGTGGAATTGTGAAAGCGCGGCAGGCAATCTGCCACTAACTGACACTGGGTGGGAACTGATTAACTTACACTGACATCAGTGATGTTTTTGAATAATTGGGAATTCATTGGGAGAAAGGGACAATATGATTTTAATAAAAATGAGGGATATGATTGCTCTTAAACTGTTAACAATCGTAATCAGAAATTATAATTATTTAGCAGAGTTTTATCAAGAGACAGATATTTTAGGTTGTCAAAAGTGTTAGATGAATCTGAGCCAATCACTGGAAAAACAGATACATTTACAATCTCTCCACCATAAAGCTATTGGTTATGTGGTTTGTTAGACACTCCCCCTCCCAGTTCATGCAGTGTGGGTGGAATAAGTACCTTATGAAATAAGTACATCCTGATTGTGTAGATGACTTCACAGCTGGCATGGATTTCCTGTATACTCCTAGACTGGGGGTTAAAGGTGATGATAACCGCTCACATGTACTATAAACAGGAGCCTCTTTGTGATCCACAGTCATTAACTGATCACCATAGCTCAACACATAATGCAAACCGATTTTCTCATTCCAAGTTTCAAGTGCTTCCCAACAATGTCAAACTTTCTTAGCTGTGGACAATGACACTGGCAACCATGTGACTAGTATTCTTAGAAAACAAATTAGCAGTAGTAGATCCTGTATATATCTCCATACAGGTTTTCTTTAACCACCTCCTGCCCGCCATATAGTCCAATGATGGGTGCAAGGTGGTTCTCTCATTCTGGGAGGACGTCATATGACGTCCTCCCATTCTCACCGCGCATGCACGGCTCAGGGAGCTCGCAGCTCAGCGATCGGCGGTGCGTTGTGTCCCTCAGACACAGCGGATCACTGATCCACGGAAAGAACCAAAGATGTTGGCTCGGTCATGTGATCAGCTGTGTCCAATCACAGCTGATCACATGTAAACAGGGAAATGCCGGTTATCGGCATTTCTCTCCTCACGAGCTGTCACGCTGGCAGCTCAAGAGCAGAGGAGAGCCGGTAATCGGCATTCCGCGGAGGGGACATATGCATTGATCATCAGGGCACTGATAATCAGTGTGCCCTGATGATCAGTGTGGCCCCAGAAGTGCCACCTGTCAGTGTCCATCAGTGCCAGCTGTCAGTGCTGAACAGTGCCACCTGCCAGTGCCACATCAATGCCACACATCAGTGCCTACCAGTGCACATCAATGCCACATATCAGTGCCCATCTGAGTTGCCTTTCAGTGTCACCCATCAGTGCCACCTATCAATGCCAATCAGTGCCACCTATCAGTGCTGCCTATCAGTGCCAGTCAGTGCCTCCTATCAGTGTGCGTCAATATGTGCCATATATCAATGCTGCCTTTCAGTGCCCATCAGTGATGCCTGTCAATGCCCATCAGTGCCACCTACCAGTGCCTCCTCATCGGTGCCCATCAGTGCCACCTATCAGTGTCCATCAGTGCAGCCTATCAGTGCCCATCACTGCAGCCTCATTTGCGCACATCAGTGAAGGAGAAAAATCACTTATTTACAACATTTTATAACAAAAACTAAGAAAAAACTTTTTTTTTCAAAATTTTCAGTGGTTTTTGGTTTGTTTAAGAAAAAATTAAAAACTCAGAGGTGATTAAATAACACCAAAATAAAGCTCTATCACAAAAAAAGATACAAATTTCATATGGGTACAGTGTTGCATGACCACGCAATAGTCATTCAAAGTGTGAGAGCGCTGAGAGCTGGAAACTGGCCTGGGCAGGAAGGGGGTATAAGTGCCCTGTAGTCTAGAGGTTAAGGAACCGTTAAGATTTGTGTGATACGCTAATGCATAGTGCAGTGCTGGCACCCCAATGCACTGTTAAAGTAAAGAACGTTGCACCCATGCTGAAGTGCTCCACAGCCCATATACAGTGTGTTGTGGTGTGCTGTATTACAAAAAAGAGTTAGGTACAATTTTCTGTGTGTTATAGTCTATTGCTGGATCATGCAAAACCTATTAAGACACATTGGGGGAGATTTACTAAAATTGGTGCAGTTGTACATAGTAACCAATCAGCTTCTAGGTTTTACTCACCATTTACACCGCTGTGATCTGTGTGCAATTTCAGCACAATTCCAGGTGCAATTTTATTGCTACTTGTGCAGATTTTCAATGATTTCTTGCAATTTGCAGTGCCATTTCCATCATATTCTATGTATGTGAAATCGCAACAAAACTGCAGAAAAAAGTAAGAACTACTTTAGAAATCGCGCTGCGGCAAATTGCAAATGTTAAGACATTGGCATTCACATTCATTAGATGCGATTTCAGGTGTGATCTCAATTCCCAAATCGCACCTGAGATTGCACCAGTATGACCGGGCACTTATTGTTAAAGCTTCATTGAACAACCTGAAGTTAGAAGATGAATGGTTACTATGCATAGCTGTACCAGATTCTGTGTGCACCAGTTTTAGTAAATCTAACCCGTTGTGTTAACACCAAGCATTGTATGAAAGGAACCTAAAACCTACTTTACGAACGTTGATTAGATGCAGTTCAAGATGTCATCAATATTCTGTAAATGCAGCATAACTGTATTGTCATATACAGTGGATTTAAAAAGTCTACACACCCCTGTTAAAATGTCAGGTTTCTGTGATGTAAAAAAATTAGACAAGATAAATAATTTCAGAACTTTTTCCACCTTTAACCACTTGGTAACCGTGCTGTAGGCGAATGATGTCTACAGCGCAGTTACCCAGTTCTGGGAGGGCATCATATGACGTCCTCCCAGAGAACACCCTCCCATCACAGTGTGAGGAAAGTACTGCCGATAACCGGCAGCTATCACAGAGCAGATCAGCACTGACAATCAGTGCTCTGCAGTGCTGCCCAGAAGTGCCTCCCACCAGTGCCACCTATCAGTGCTGCCCATCAGTGCCCCAGCAGTGCCACCAGTCAGTGCCATCAGTCAGTACTGTCAGTCAGTGATGCCCATCAGTGCACATCAATGCCTCTTACCAGTGCTCATCAGTGCCGCCTATCAGTGACCATCATTACTGCATATCAGTGCAGCATCATCAGTGCCTCCTCATCAATGCCCACCAGTGCCACCTCATCAGTGCAGCCTATCAATGCCCATCAGTGCTGCCTATCCGTGCCACCTAATCAGTGGTGCCCATCAGTGCTGCCTATCTGTGCAACCTCATCAACGCACATCAGTGAAGGAGAACAATTACCTGTTTTAAAAAAAAAAAAAAACTTTTTCTGTTTTTCATTATAACATTTTTTTTTTTAGAGTGCAAAAAAATAAAACACCCAGTGGTGATTAAATACCACCAAAAGAAAGCTCTATTTGTGTGAAAAAAAATATACAAAATATCATATGGGTACAATGTTGCATGACAGCACAATTGTCATTCAAAGCTGAAAGCTGAAAATTGGCCTGGGGAGGAAGAGGATAAAAGTTCCCAGTAGGCAAGTGGTTAAAGGTGGAAAACGTTCTGAAATAATTTATCTTTGTCTCATTTTTTTACATCACAGACACTTGACATTTTAACAGGGGTGTGTAGACTTTTTTATATCCACTGTATGTTAGTACAAAGCCTAACATATCTTTTTTTGATTCCACAACATACTTTTTCATGTCGCTTTTAATGACATGTAATATGGGGATTAAAAGCATAAATGTGTCTTTGCAAGCTTTACAGTCCAAGCAGAGAAAAGTATAACAGCACACTCTCCCTAAGGTTTAGAATGACAACCCAGTCAAAAGAGTGAAATGAATAATTTCAGCAAACATAAAAACAATTGTAAACCTACTGCCATTAGGGAATGTAATTTAACACTAAGCAGAATACCGTAGCTGGTATTTATAAAGCAACACTCTCTCTGCAGCACAAAACAGCATCCGCTGGGGTACAGAGCAGCAGTATGTACAGCTAGTAACAGTAATCCTAGATAAAATAAACACATGTAGCCCATGCTTTTTAGCCTTTCTCCAATAAAAGGTGCAAACATTTAGCTGTAACATCATAATTACCGTAATCTATTTTTAAAGTGGCTTGCTGCTGAAAAGGGAAAGCAGTCATGCACACTGAAAAACCCAGGATCTTACTGATATACTATCCATGTAACAATAATGTGTGAAAACAGGTTAACATCTTGTTGTGAGTATAAAAGAGGTAACATTGTCTGGAATAAATCCTAATGCATCCTCAAACTGCTGCGATTTTTTTTTTTTTTGCTTTCGTCAATAGAATGCATTTATTAACACAAAGACAGCTTATTTCCCATGGCTGTACATAAAAAACGTAGCTATGAAAAGGAAACATATTCCAAAAATGGTTATAGATTTGTTCATGTTCAAGAGATGCACATAATGTGTTGTAATCCTCAACCATAAAGGTGATGCTGCCATAATGTCTATAAAAAGGAGGCTATTTGCAACTGTGATGGGCAGAGACTATGAAGGATGGAGCACTGTAATAAGGAGGCTGTAAAGGCATTCATGTAAAAAAAAATGTGTTCCAGTATCACTTTCTGAACATTGAAAGGCAAAACCTTTTGGTAGGAAATGGTTAAAACCTCCATTATTTTTTTGTAGATTTAACCACTTGTCTAGCATGTCATAAACATACCTTGGTAGACAAGTGGTTAATCACCACTGATTTTTTTTTTTTGTTACTTCAATAAGAGCACTTTAACCCCATTCCTATCCAGGCCACTATTCAGCTTTCAGCGCTGTCGCACTTTGAATGAACATTGTACGATCATGCAACACTGTATCCATATTACATTTTTAGCTTGTTTCACACAAATATAGCTTTGTTTTGGTGGTATTTAATCACCACTGGGTTTTTTTTTAATTTTTTGCTAAATAAACGAAAAAATACAGAAAATTTAAAAAAAAATGCATTTTTCTTCATTTCTGTTATAACATTTTGCAAATTAATAATCTTTCTTCATAAATTTAGACCAAAATATATTCTGCTACTTTTTTTTATGAAAATAACCCAAATCAGTGTTTATTATTTAGTCTGTAGGAAAGTTGAGACCACAAACTATGGAATAGATAATCGATCAGTCCTGATGTAGTGATGGCCTATCTCATTTCTTGATGCCTAAAAAATGCCAGGACAGTACAAATATCTCCCAAAGAACCCCTTTTTGGAAAGTAGACCGTCCAAGGTATTTAGTAAGAGGCATGGTGAGTTTTTGTTGTAATTTTTTGTCACAATTTTTGGGAGAATTGCTTTGGCAGTGATAAGGGACACTGACTGGTTACAGTATGTAAAAAAAAAAATGCAATTTTTTTTCAATTTGTTATATTTTATTTATTTATAATTTTTTTTGCTATTATTTTCTAACCCACTGTGACTCGAGCAAAATAATGTCAGTGTAGTAACATTGTACTACTCTAGGGAAGTGATCAGGATTTTTTTTAACACATTACAATTGCTTATACCAGTGAATTTCACCGTCATAAGGAACCATTTTTACTGAATGAAGTTTATTCCTTCTGTGTTTGCTATTGTGGTTAGCTGTGGTTGGCCACAGCTAATCACATGGTACAGATGGGCTCTAATCGGTCCTGTCTGTACCATGTGACCACTGTGACCAATCACAGAGATCAACACAATAGTACATAATGGATGGCATGAATGAAAGCCATCCATTGTGTACAATTGTTATGTGATCTGATGTGACTGGAATCACTTGGTACTGGCTGGTACACTTATTAGTCATCAACTGTGTCCAGTGGATACAACGGGTGACAGATCGAGTCGGCGCATTCTGTGAGGACATCATATGACATCCAGCTGGAACGGGGAATGTCCCACCCGGTCATTAGTTGACTATTGGCTGGATGGTAACTGGTTAATATGTAAAGGAAAAATACCAAACATTTTGAAAAAAAAAATTTATTTTGTGTTCTACAACATTTTTCAAAACTCTAAAATGCCAGGACAATAAAAAAAAAAAAAAACTGATTTTATTTCTCATATACAGCATGGGCATACTTATAGTTATACCTCAAAACACATTTTTCTACTCCTGTTACTGGTGCTGTCTTTTTGGAGATCAAATAAATATAAGGTGCAGCGCTATACCTAAGTGCACTAAATAAATAAATATAAAGTGCAAAATAACTTTTCAAAGTGCTCTAAATATTACCACAAGGTACTATACTTTATGTGCAAAAATACTGTGCAACCCGTGTATTACAAAAGAATACAAATAAAGTGCAATTAGTGACAAACCAAATCACTGCAACATTTGTTATACATATTAATGAATCCAAATAAATAGTTTTTATAAAATAAATAAATAAAAAAGTGTCCAAATGCAACAAAAACACTTTTCAATCTTCAT